CTCCAGAGCAAATGCGCTCACTGGCCCTTGAGACAATCAATGTCAACTATCCTGCAGATCAATGGCTCCAAGTCTTCACTGATGGGTCATACAGAGAAAGCCAAGCAAACGTTGGTGCAGGTGTCTATTCTGAACTCTTCTCTTTCTACGCAGCAGCGGGACATAATAGATCCGCTTATGAAGGAGAAATTGAGGCCATTAGGATAACATTATGCCAATTATGCTGCCTGGATACGAAATTAACCAAAGCGGTGATACTTTCGAACGCACAGTCAGCAATAATCTCAATTGGAAATAGATAGCCACCCAAAAAAGCTGAGATAAAGGAATGTAGGAAACTCTATCAGCTGCTAAGAGAGAAAAACAAAACAGTGGTCTTACAATGGGTTCCTGGTCACTGTGCCATTAAAGACAATGAGCTTGCTGACACACTTGCTAAGAAGGAGACAACGAATTTGCAATGCATGGACCGCCTGGTAAAAAGTGCATTAAAGACAATGAGCTTGCTGACACACTTGCTAAGAAGGAGACAACGAATTTGCAATGCATGGACCGGCCGATGTCTTTACAATGAAGGCCTTGATCAGAAGAGAATTCAAGACTTCAAGGTGCAACGAACTTAAACCTCGAACAAAGGAGAAACATTGGACAGTGGCACTCTCCAATTGCAACGAACTTAAAGTTCGAACAAAGGAAAAACAGTGGAGAGTGGCACTCTACCACATAGAGGAGAAATAGTGGACAGTGGCACTCTCCGACATACCCGGCTGGGCCAAAAATCAGAAACAGTGGACAGTGGCACTCTTCGATATAGCTAGGAGAAACATTGGACAGTGGCACTCTCCGACATAGCCGACTGGCCAAAAATCGAAGCCGTTGCTGAGTTTAGACTACGTACCTGACACAATTGCTTGACAAAACATTTTCACAGGTTGGGAGTATACACTCAACCCACATGACCTCTATGTAACCTACATGAGGAAATGGAGAAGACCCAACTGATCCGATGTCCAGCCCTAAAGACAATGACGGAAAGCCAGAGATACTGGGAAGCAAGAAGACAGCTAATGAACTGCTATTAAATAACTGCTATAAATGTACTCCCCACCCAAGAGGGAAGCTGAAATCAAAGTTTAAGGGCTAATGATAAATTTCACAAAGCCTGCCATTTGGAATTATAATAATGATAATTTTCATTTCCTATGAATCCGTTTTGCTACCTAAGATTTCCAATTCATATACTAAACAAAGAAAATTATATAATTCACATATCAATGCTCATTGCCAGTAATTAGCAGAGTAAACTTATTTTACATCGAAATTTGGGTAAACATTGTTGCCCAATTGTAAAAAGCTTTGGAATGCAGCAACAACCAACAAGATTGCAATATTAGTTGTACTTTATATGACCTTTAATCCGATATCTGAAAGTGAGGGTATAAATAGGGGGTCTCAATAATTGATAGACATCAAATTGTGACTTACGAGCTGTGAAATAGTAAGCGCATCAATACATCCTCTACTTCTATACTCTTCAGCTTTATAGATGGCAGATGTTATGAACGTCACCGGTAACTTTACCAATGGAAGTGAAAACTTCTACGATAAATTGAATACTCAATCGGCTGGATGGGTCGCCATTGTGATCTGCTCCATCTGCTTTGGCACTAATCTTATTCCCGTGAAAAAATTCAAGATGGGTGATGGTATGGCCTTCCAGTGGTTGATGTGCACTGGCATCTTATTCGTTGGTGTCGTTGTTCAGTTGGCAATTGGATCTGCATATCGCATCCCCAAATTCCATCCTCTAGCCATGCTCGGTGGAGCCTTGTGGGCCACCGGTAATTCAATGACTGTCGTCATCATTGAAGCCATCGGCCTCGCTCTTGGCATCCTTATCTGGTCCATCGCTAACATGCTCATGGGATTCTTCTCAAGTCGGTAAGTACTCAGTTCAACATTTTCACGCATTTCTACCCTCTTCATATTGAAGTAATATACATACTTAACCGTAATAGATTTGGATTCGGTATTCTCATACCAAAAGAACCAAAGAACCCCACTCTCAACTACATTGGTGTTGCCATTGCAGTTGTGAGCATCTCCCTGTACGCGTTCATCAAACCAAACACCAGTGAAGAGAAGACTGAGGATAACAAAGAAGAGGATTTAGAGGATTGCAAGAAGGAGGAAAAGTCCGCCTCCTTACTCAAATTCGCCAATTTTAGTATCAGCCAACTTCCAGTCAGAATGAAGAAATTCGTGTAAGTATAAGAGGTTTTGCAATGTGCGTGCATATTGCTGGGGTGAACGCCAGCTCACAATTTGAATTCTTCTTTCAGAGGGTTCTTCCTCGCCATTATTGCTGGTTTCTTCTATGGTACCAATTTCATGCCAGTAATTTATGTTCAACAACAGCCGGGCAACAGTCAAGCTGGTCTTGATTACGTCTTTGCTCACTTTCTTGGTATCTGGTTGACTTCCACCATCATCTTCGTCATCTACGCCTTGGTTAAGAAGAACACACCCTGGTTGCCTTCAAACCAGGCCATACTTCCATCCCTCTTGAGTGGAATTCTCTGGGCTATTGCTCAGTCCTCCTGGTTTGTTGCCAATGCCGCTCTTGGTGAGCCTGTCACTTTCCCAGTTGTGGCAACTTGTCCCGCTGTCATTGCCACCGTCATTAGTGTAGTTGTCTTCAAGGAAATCACCGCAAGTTATCACTACGTCTTACTTATGTTAATTTGGTGCCAATTTAAACACCGATTAAGTTGTATTTTTTCTATTTAACAGGGTAAGAAGAACTACATCATCCTTGGTTGCGCCATTTGTGTTACCTTCGTGGGCATCATTATCAATGCCCTCTCCATGATCGATTTCTCCTAAGCCACGGCTGAGGCACTGAAAACTATGGTTTTATTAAGATAAATAAAATCAATTGCTATGCGCATCAATATCTTGTATTATAAATGGGCAACGAGAGAGGTGGGTGGTGTAATGAGTATAGTTGAATTGGGTCAAGACATCGTTTGAAATGTCATAGTCCTTTAGCTTTATTGTGATGTTGTTACAGAGAAAAGTGACAAGTCTCCAGCATTCCAACCATTCCTAGCATCAATGATTCCTGCTATCGGAATTGAAAATGTGAAGACAATGAAAGAATTTCGTGGAACCCAGAACAAACTGAATGAATTGTGAAAATTCGACCTTGTTCAAATAAGCATTATTAGCTTCAATTTATTTTGTAGCTGCTAGCCACAACTTTGACTGCCAAATCGGATCGAAAAAGTAAACCTTTGAAGAGGTGTAAGAGTACGAGACAAACTCTGTGGAGAAATAAGATTCGGTAAACTCATTCTAAAGTAGTCTAAATTAACCGGCCCGATTCAGTTGCAAAACACATTATCCATTCTCAACCTCATTTCGTTTAAGATCCACAATGCTGCCATATCCACCAACTTTGCACTCAGTTCAATTAACCATTTCGAATGACTTGTATGGAACAGTACCTTGTTGAATCTCTAGGTAAATGCAAACACCTTATTTCTCTTTCTGTTCACTAAGGCGTAGCGTTGACCAACATAATTTCAAAATCTTTCCTTCTTCTTCTTCTGACTGATATCGTCCAATTTTATGATTAGGAAATGTGTGGAAAACATGGCTTGAAGACTATACGATACTTTAAAGTGTTGAAGTACTCGACTGATTCATTTTTTAGTAAATTAAATTGGTCGGTTAAAATCTGTTTAAATCCACGTTGTAATAATAGGAAAGAACGCAAGATGGGGTCGGATCGTTTGCTGTTAATAAGGCATCAAGCAAATTAGACCTTTAATTTAATGCAATAGCAATAATGTTCGCTTTCCATTTAGTAATTCGATATTGAAAGTTGCTGCCTGTTATTAAACTATCTAAGATAGGGGGTGTGCGATAGACTTACCTAGGCAACGTATACTCATACGGAAAAAAGGCTATTAACCGGCAATTGACCTCTTACAACAAACCACCATGACCCCACAGGATGTCATACTCGACCCCTCCCACAGTACTCATCTAGCCTTTTTTTCGGCCTTTATGTCTGTCTGTCTCTTTTACATCAATGAATCGCTCTTCTTTTCCCCTGTCGAATATTTTTGTTCCTCCCTTCTGTGAAGCTCGAAGTCAGCTAAAGGGCCAATAATAACTATCAAAATGTCTGCCATTTGAAAAAATATTGGTTGTTACTGCCTGTTATTAAGCTATCCAAAAAGTCTTGATATAAAATGACCTTCCTCTGTGTAGGAAAGAAATATGTATATCTATGTACACTCAGCCACACACAGAATAAGAAGAATTTGATTAAGGTCAGTGGGAAAGTAGAAATGTGAACAGAAATGCATTCAGGCCAAGGGGTGATTATAAATCGAGCTGTTTCTTATCGTAAATGCGTCAAACATTGATCTTGAGCACGGGAATCATTTTCTTATGTGGGTCTCGTGTCTCCAATGGCAATTTCCTTAGAAGCTAGACAATATCTTCATCAATTTCCTGTTTATTTTGATCCTAAATAAAATAAAATAAATATGATGAACAAAACTGGAACATTTAATGTGAAAATATAATACTGGAATGTGAAATACTCATAAGCTAATGAGTTTCAAATAATCTGCTGTTGCTTTGACTTAATGCAAATTGTGCTAATGTGATTTTAAATGGACCTGTGCATTTTTTAACTGGGTCATTGCAAATCCCTCCTATATTTCATTGTTAAAGCTATTAACTTCGAGCAAAAACGTCTTTTCTCCTGACTACACTTCTAAACCTGGTTCCACTAAGCATAACACACACAACTGTAGGAAAGCAATCAGCAATCTCATTACCTTATACTAGCTTTAATTATCCGAACGGGGTGTGAGACAGACTTACCTCCACGTGGTGCACCCTGGGCAACGTATACACTTACGGCAAAAAAGTCCATTAATCGGTAGTTGACTTCTGACTTCAAACTACCAAGACCCCACTGCATTTCATAATCGACTACTTTCACAGTACTCACCTCACCTTTTTTCTACCTTTGTGTCTGTCTGTCTCTTTTACGTCTGTGGATCATTATTCTGTCCCCCCCCTCGACTTTTTGCCACTTTGATGTTCCTCTTCCTTTCTGTGAAGCCTGAAGTCAACTAAAGGGCTAATGATTCCTATCATAACGCCTGCCATTTGAAATAAATAAATAAATAATCAGAATAAGTTGGTAAGTCAAGACAGTAATTGAACAAGAAATAAGAAACTTGACATTTCGAGAACTGTGCGTCTTATTACAACCCACTCGCTAAGACTACCTTCAGCTGGATCCAATGAACTGAAGTCTTCATTCTATGGACTTTTTTGGTCCTTAGTCTGGCAGTAATTGCTCAAGCAGGAAAAAATAACTTTTCAACATGATCCTTATTATCTTACACTCTCAATACTGACGTCCATTGACAAGAACTCAGATTCAAGAAAAAAAATTCACAAACATTAGTGGGTAATAAATGTTCTTTGCTATTAATATCCAGACGATGCTACACTTTGTCTAGGGCGCATCGTATTGCCCTAAACGTAGCATGAAGTGCACTCAAGTTCCACCATAACAATATAAGATGTCGATTCACCATTAAACTGAATTGATAACACTTAGAAACTCACTTTATTGACAGCTGATATATAGTATCAAGAAGAGCCTTACTTAAGAGGGTGCTTTTATTAAGAACTTAGAGTACACAGAATGCAATTTAAGCGTAAAATACAAACGATAGAGAGAAAGTATTAGCACTATTATTGATTGAGGTCAAAACGTACAATCTGATTAAAAGTATTTTAGATTAAACTAGTCATTTCTTGAATAGAGATAGAGAAATAGCCAGTATAGCTACTATTATCTAATACTTTGATTGAAATCGATGACAGAAACGAAGTTAAGGAGAGCTCTAAGCGGAAGAGACTTTGACAAGCTCGTATTTCTTGGACCAGGGGTGAGCGATAGACTTACCTCCACGTAGTGCACCCAAGACAACGTATACTCATACGGCAAAAAAGTCTATTAACTGGCAGTTGACCTCTGACTTTAAACTACCATGACTCACTTTATGTCATATTCGACCCCTTTCAAAGTACTCACCTAATTTTTTTTTCTGCCTTTGTGTCTGTTTCTTTTACATCTTTGAAACACTCTTCTCTTCCCTCCCCCCCCTCTCGACTTTTTTCAATTTGATGTTCCTTCCCCTTTCTGTGAAGCCTGAAATCAACTAAAGGGCTAATGATAACTACCAAAACGCCTGCCATTTGATATAAATAAATTTCTTGGACTAGTGTTAATTATTGAACATATTATATGTATAAAGCGTATTTTAACCGACTAGTGAAATTCAGAAATAAGAAGGCAAACTTCAAAGGTCCACATCT